TCTGGAGACCGGCTGTCATTCCAGGAGAGCTCCAGGCCCCACCTGGAGGTTGGCAACTGTACTCAGTGAACGGGTCCCTGGTTTATGAAGGAGGTCTGGAAAAAAAACAGTGGGGTGACGGATCCATGGAAAGCAAGTACAGAGTTAAAATGTAAAACTCCATCTAATTTAGAATCCCAGCTATGCTAAACTAGCTTATACCCAGAGGAGTTATCCATGTTAGTCTGTTGCCGCAAAATAGTAAAAAGCCCAGTAGCACTTTTAAGTCTAACAAACTTTCTTGTGGCATGTGCTTTTGAGAAACACAGCTCTCTTCATCAGATGCATGGAGGGTATCTGATGAAGAGAGCTGTGTTTCTCGAAAGCACATGCCACAAGAAAGTTTGTTAGACTTAAAAGTGCTACTGGGCTTTTTACTAGTTTATACCAGTGCCAGTGTTCCCTCTGAGCTGAGTTAGTGTGAGCTAGCTCACAGATTTTTGGCCTCCGACTCACACCTTTTTGTCTTAGCTCAGGAAGGATGGCTCCAGGACAAACTACTTTATGCAGTAGCCAAATCGCTTGCTCACAACTTTAATGCCAGTAGCTTGCAAAGTAGAATTTTTGCTCACAAGACTCCACAGCTTAGAGGGAGCATTGTAACAGGTGTAGAATTAAAGAATGTTAAAACTGTCTGACAACAAGATGAAAAATCTTAAATTCTGGTTCATTCCAGCTTGATAAGTAGGGTGAAACCTCTTAATAAATCCCCATTCCATCACTGTAGGTTAATTTTCACTATTATTTCAGGAGCCATGAAAGAAAAAGAAATATTTTTGAAATTCAATAAGTAGACCATTTGATCATAAGGGTCCTGGCAGGGCATTTAGGACTCCCTGCCTCCCCCGTCACATCCCCCACCCCTGGCTGCCTCAGGTCCTGCTCCCTTACTCTCAACCTTCACTAGAAAGGCAGGAAAAGTTGCCCTGTGAGAAGGGAGCACTCACTGGAGAAGGCCCTGAAGCTGAGAAAGATTGAAGGTAAAAGAAGGAGGAGACGGCAAAGACTGAGATGGTTAGACAGTGCAACAAACATGAAATTGAGCAAGCTCCGGAGGGTAGCAGAAGACAGGAGGGCCTGGCATGATGTGGTCCATGGGGTCCTGAAGAGTCGGACTGGGCTGTGCGAATGAACAACGAATTGGTGCACACCCTCAGCCAGAAGAGGGAGCTCTTGAGCACTAATTCCTATCAGAAAACCTGAACATGCTTTTGGACAGAGCAGAGGTTATAATAACGGGCATCCCAAATTCGTAACTGAAGCACTGAAAGTATTTCATCCCATTTGTGGCATTGTGTTGTTGTGAAATGGAACTCCATTTGATGGGCACAATACAACCGAAACAATGAAAGATTGAAACAATTTAAGAAGATCTGCTGCTTGGTAAACTGAGTGAACAGACACACACAAAAACCTAAGCGCAAAGTCCTCCTCCTTAAAAGACTCGTCTAAAGAAAAAGATTTCTTTTTAAAAATGTCTGAAAGAAAGCAGTTTTACAGACTGACAACTTTGCCAGACCCTACCCTTTCGGGTTCTGTATGCCATGTAATTTTTAAATTAGGAACTAAGAATCCATCACAGATTATTAATCATTGTGAATTGTTTGAGCATTTTAAGTGTTCCGTTGGAGTTTTCTTGCTGTTGAGATCCCACTGTATTCTTTTCTTACTCCCAAATGCTTATACCCTGGAAAATTTTGTGGGTCCCTAAGCTGCTACTGGACTTGCATGTTGTTCTAGTACTACAAACCTGGAAACCCGCCTAAAAGTATTTTATTCTATGATTAAAAAAAAATCTGCTCTTTTTTGCTCTTTAAAATCTTAAGTCATTACTGCTTGACAGTTGATTTCATAGTTCTCCCTGTTTCCCTGTCAGTTCTGCACAGGTTGTTAGGGAGGGTTAATTTGGAAAACTTAGGTGAAAAGGCAGTCTAAAAGCAATAACTTTATAAAAGCAATAACTTTATAAATAAATATACATACTCTAGTAGTAAACATTCACTGTTTTAAAAAATAAGTAATTTACAATTTTAAATTCACTGTTTGAAAACTGACTGTTTACTACTGGAAATATTTATAACTTGTTTTGAGAAATCTGTTGCATCTGTTACATAAGGAGCGCAGGTAATCTTTCCTTTATATCACAACAACCTTGTGAGGTAGGCGAGGCTGAGTGAGGCCTGGAACTCTGGTCTCCCTCCTCACTCTAACCACTACGCCCTGCTCCCTCTTTTATGCCCTCTCGAAACCTCTGAGTAAGAACATAAGAGAAGCCAATGCTGGATCAGGCCAATGACCCATCCCATCCAGTCCAACACTCTGTCACACAGAGACCAAAAATACCAGGTGCCATCAGGAGGTCCAGCAGTGGGGCCAGGACACTAGAAGCCCTCCCACTGTTGCCCCCCCCAAGCACCAGAATACAGAGCATCACTTGCCCCAGATGAAGAGTTCCTATCTATACCTCATGGCTAATAGCCACTGACGGACCTCTGCTCCATATGTTTATCCAATTCCCTCTTGAAGCTGTCCATGCTTGTAGCTACCACCACCTCCTCTGGCAGGGAATTCCAAGTGTTGATCACTCTTTGGGTGAAGAAGTACTTCCTTTTATCTGTTCTAACCCGACTGCTCAGCAATTTTACTGAGTGTCCACGAGTTCTTGTATTGTGAGAAAGGGAGAAAAGTACTTCTTTCTCTACCTGCTGTATCCCATGCATAATATTATAAACCTCAATCATGTCACCCCCTCAGCCATCGTTTCTCCAAGCTAAGGAGCCCCAAGCACTTTAACCTTTCTTCATAGGGAAAGTGTTCCAACCCTATTATCATTCTAGTTGCCCTTTTCTGCACTTTTCCCAATGAGGTAACCAGAACTGTACACAGTATTCCAAATGAGGTCACACTATTGATTTATACAGGGGCATTATGATACTGGCTGATTTGTTTTCAGTTCCCCTCCTAATAATCCCCAGCATAGTGTTGGACTTTTTTATTGCAGTCACACACTGTCTCAACATTTTCATACTACAACTCCAAGATCTCTCTCTTGGTCAGTCTCTGCCAGTTCGGACCACATCAACGTATACTTATAGTTAGGATTTTTTGCTCCGATGTGCATCACTTTGCACTTGGCCACACTGAATCCCATTTGCCATGTTGACACCCACTCACCCATCCTCGACAGATCCCTTTGGAGTGCCTCACAATCCTCCCTGCTTTTCACCACCCTGAACAACTTCATGTCATCTGCAAATTAAGCCACTTCACTGCCTACTCCCAACTCCAAATAATTAATGAACAAGTTAAAAAGCAATGGACCGAGTACTGATCCCTGCAGTACCCCACTGCTTACCACCCTCCACTGAGAAAATTGCCCATTTATAGTCACTCTGTTTCCTATTAATTAGCCAGTTTTTGATCCACAAAAGGACTAGTCCTTTTATCCCATGACTATTTAGCTTGCTTAGGATCCTTTGATGAGGTACTAGAGAATCTCTGCGTGTGAATTCCACAGGGCCCTCCAAGTTAAGACGGCTGCAGCCAAACAACTTTTGTGGCACATTCAAGGCAGAAAGAGACATATATATGAGGGGAGAGGTTTTCGCAGGCCGGTGTCTGTTTCCAGCTAGGCTCTCTGGCCTGCATTGGCAGCAGTTCCCCCACCCTTCTCCCAGCAGAAGGAAAGAGCAAGAGTCCAAGAGCACCTCCAAGACTAACATTTGTGACAGATCCAGGTGCGGTAGCTGTGTTGGGACTGAAGCAGCAGAACAAAGTTTGAGTGCAGAGGCACCTTTAAGAGCAACAAAGTTTGATTCAAGGCATAAGCTTTTGTGTGTGAGCACACTTCCTCAGATACAGTGAAACAGAATTTCCTCAAACATTACATATAGAAAGAGAAGGGGGGGGATTAGTTGCCAGGAAGGGCCAATTAGAGTCAAGGCCAAGAAAGAAACAAAACTGGTAACTTCCAATTTTTGTTTCCAATTTCGTTTCTGTCTCTTGATTCTTGACAACCAACCCCCCCTTTTCTACATGTAATGACTGAGGAAATTCTGTCTCACTGTGTCTGAGGAAGAGTGCGCATGTACATGAATAAAACTTTGTTGCGGGAGAGGAGGAGCTTTCGGGACTCACGGCTCCCCTCTGCCGCCCGGGTTCTTTCTTTCCTACTGCCCCAGACAGACTCTGCCCATCCTGAGCCGCCTTCTCCCACTCAGTAGTTTTGGGACCCTGCAGGAGAGGAGTGTCTGTCTGTCGTCTTCTTCCTTTTTTGTGCTCCGAGCCTCGCTTCCCGGCCGGCCGCCGCACTGCAGAGCTCGCAGCTGGAGGCCAAAAAAACCCCGACTCCCGTCCCGCTCCAGGCCGGGCGCGGCCGGGGCGAGGCTCC